TTTTTGATTCAAAACAGATTGATAGATTTTTAAAAATTAAAGTACTTGAGTGAACAAGAAAGATAAGTTAGAGAAAAAATATTATTGGCCAAAATTTTATGAATAATATTTCTTTTATATACAAGACAATATTTTTGGTATTAAATATTCATGGTTACATCAATCGAAATTTCAATTCAAAATATGTAGAAATATTTAGTTTTTTTTTTATTCGGATTATTACGTATTATATTGTTGTATTAAATGTGCTCTGATGAATAACTCGTGTATGTTCTTTTGTTGATTATTAGTATAATTGTATATTTTATATTGTATTTTCCGAACATCACACGAACTATAGTAATATAATTCCATTTATAAATATTGTAAAATATTTAATATTTAAACATTTAAAGACAATTTAATGATATACATATATTTTAAATGCGTCCAGCTAACTCTAAAAAATAATCTCTTACTAGTAAAATTGTTCATATATTAATGTGATAGGGAATGGTTTTTTGATATCTGTGCCAACTGTTAAAATACAGTTCATGGGTAATGAATATGAACGTAATAAAAAGATTTAGAATACTGACGTTCTACTATGAATTGTAGTAAAGCAATGATTTTAAAATATTATTTTTATTCAGTTAGACATCCACATGTTATTAAATAGTATGCTATATTTCTATAATATATAACTTCAAAGCAAAGAGTAAATAATTATCATCGGCATAGTGAATATAGAAAATAATAATAGTTTAATACGATTAATGGTCTTGACACGTATAATGTTTATTTATTAAAAATTGCAAAAATGTATTTATAAATTTGAAATTTTAATATTTTAATAATACCTTACAATTATTTTAAAAATAGACTGTTAAAACAATTATTACGTTTCCGGTAGCTTTTAAGCATACTTTATCAATTAGGTATGTGATGATGTATATGTTATTATAAATACAAGTAAAATTTAACTATATTCGTATTTCATTTTCAATCGTGGTTAAATTGTCACTAAAGAAAACATAATATACATCTAATATTCATTTTACAATTCACAGAAATAAATAAAATAATTTAATTCCGGAAAAGTAGTTTTTATTTATATTCGTTTAATGCTAAATTGCATTAAATTTTGTGATGTGATCATGGAAATAATGGTTTAGTAATATATTACGATTTCACAATAACTACCAAATATCATTTAAAATACATAATATTATGATCGTAAAATGTTACAACGATGTAATGCGTAATTATACAAAATTATTCAATAGATAATAAAAGAAAATCAGCAAATACCATAAAAACCTACCTACACGGATGATTTTTGATTTAAAATATAACCTAAATTTCTGTATGATTAATTTCACTATTGGCATTATTATGTACGCATGTAGATTTGTTAATATATTGAAGGATATAAAAGATCGAAAACTTAACTCACTGGCGCCCATACCGCTATTAAGTAGTGCAATTTCATGGATGTTCAATGGTGGCGAGTGGGTCTTGTTAACTAGCATGTACAATATATAATATTTTGGCACCACTAGAATATAACTCAAATTATTATATCAAGTTATAATTAGCCAAATTTACAATTAAGGTATTTGTGGAACTACTATTATATACTATTATTATTTGAGAGGTCGTTACTACTGAAAGGATAAAATTATCAACTGCACGGGTAAATGGGAAATGTTTAGACGACATTGACATAACCTGTTGATGTTTTTATAAAATATAGATACATGTATACGTACTTATGTGATTGTACAAAATCAGAAAAACTATACTAGGCTGATAAAAATCTGGAAACGTATCAAATGTCCAAATTACTTGAAAAGTGTCCATACAGAAGAAAAAAAAAATAATACTGGGAAACGTTCCAACCATTTTGCACACAAAATAATTAGCAACAGTCAGTGTATCTTCTTAAAAACTGCCCATGTGGGCATATAACGTAACCCTGAAGAATTTTATTTTATTTTATCAAAGTATAAATCTACTTATTTTACTAGCAAATAATATTACAGCACTTTGAGTATATTTGTAATATTAATGTTATTATGTGCATAATTTATTTATTATAACAAATCGTTTTGAATTATTGTCGGTAAGAAAAATCGGTTTAAATTCTATTTTATTGCTTCAGAAGCTTATTTTTGAAAACCGTAATTAGATATCATTAAATATCTTCCGCTACGGTTTGGCTTAAAATTTATATTACGAACTTAAATAGATCCAATTACGAGTAGGTTCGTGTTTTATGCACTACAAGTAAATTAATACAATTAATATATTAAAATTGTAATTGATAAATTTTAATAATATAGTAACATTATACCTTTACAGTAAATAAAATTCATAAAATTATATTTGATTTCATTATGATTTTATTTTATTTAATAATTTCAATCTCGATATCACGTGCATTTGAACTGGCTTTGTTCATTATGACCACTTAAGCTATTGAAAATTGTAACGATTGTTGTCATTTACAAAATAGAAACTAAATTAATTTTATTTACCATTTGGGCCAGAATCACCTTAAACCACTAATGTTCTTTTTTTTTTTTTTTTTTTTTTTTCAATTCGTTGGGCTAAATGCATTATCTAAAAAAAAAGAGAAAGAAAGGAAAAGTAGAAATCTCATTAAAATGCTGTGGCAACTGTAGATATTGTCACTGGGGATTAGAAAAAATACTACAGCAGTGTTGCTAGGGGAGTATTACCTGAATGGTGTCATTCGTGTTTGTCTTTTTTGAATACATGATAAAAAAAGAACATTTACTGCTAAAGACATAAATTATTTAGTATTAAACTTTCAATAAACGTTATGAAAAAGAAAACAAATTGAATAAAACTGTGCATCTGTATTTATATTTTAGTAGAATAAACGCGTATAAAACGCCTCAAAAGTCTTGACTTAATGACAATTTTTAACAACCCCTGCAGTTCTATATACTAGTGCCCAGTGGTAAACAAATGATTGGGTGAGTTTTGGGATGACCAAGGATTAAAAAAAAAACTCAATTCTGAAATAGAATGAAATATATACACATTATGAGTATTTTAACGTCTGTATAAAGTGTATTTTTTTTTGATTATGATGGAATCACATAAAAAAATTTTCGTCCGAGGAAATATAAAATAGACGTTTAATATTGATGTAAGAACTATGTATTTTTTTCCACCTGAAGATAAGTTTACAACTCTAACTTTTCGTTATGTCCATTTGCTTTTTCTTTAAGTTCCTTAAAGGTTTTGACTTTTCATGTGACGCATCACATTTCATTTGTCCTATATAAGAGTTCCAAGATGGTCCTGCAGTTTTCTTTCCTTTTATCATACCTTCTATACCCTCTAATATTATATTATGCAGCTTTTCCGGGAATCTTAGAACATGTCCAAACATTTTCCAATGTTTTCTCTAATCGCATCTATGTGCGTACATTTTTCTTCCATAATTAGAAGTACTTCTTTGTTTGTTTTTCATTCTATCCAGCTTATCGTTTCCTTATGCCTCCAGAATCATATCTCAAAAGTTTCTAGTTTTTTTTTTTCAGCTTCATTTGTTACCCACGTCTCACATTCATGTGTTGCAATACTCCATACATATGTCTTAAAATCTATGTATATAATTTAATAATTTAATATAAAAGAAAATTTAATATTAGCCACTGCTCGTGTCTATTTATTAATAAATAATATATTTATTTAGAATAAAAATTATATTTGCTCTCACTTCCCAACAGCAGTATAGTGCTAATGATCTCTGCAAAAGCAATTTGTAAGGATTTAATCTTCCAAATTGCTTAAGTCTCTTAATAACGAACGATATCAATAATTTCCTATCAATATTGTAGCATTAACGTGCATACGCAGATTCAGTATAATATTACAACGACGAATTTAAAAAAATCTACGTGTTAACGTGTCGAAAGTCAAGATTTATTAATAATAATACTAACAATAACGTTGCATTATACCCTGTATTTAAACGCATACATGTTATTTTTTTGTGCTGAAAAACGACTAAATCGGAATTATAAATTTGCATAGAGACCTCGAGGATTGTTGTTCCATTGATATTATATAGAAGTATATAAGTAGAAAAATGCGGTCTCCCATGAGCAAGTATACACAGTAGCTCCCGGTATCAATTATTTTAAATAAAATATTTGCTTTATTCCTTTCACTCGTCGATTCCATTAATGTCTTGTCGCAATCTCACCTCGCGTTGATATAAACCGGGGGCAAAATATCCAAAATTCTGTGTATCCAAATCGTTTGAGAAAATATTTGAATACGCGTACATTGTATAATATATATTGCTCGTATATATAATATGAACGAGTGTAATTATTAGAATTGTTAATTCAAAACTATACAAGTAGACTTTGAACGATGTATTTTTCCTTCTAACAGTATTGGTAATAATAGGTACATGAGATTTCTTGAAATTTGTATCGAGAGAGAGAGAGAGAGAGACTAAATTTCACGTATTTTGCTACTGCACATCTGAGTCCACACACCAAACAATTTTAAACTAATGAACCTAGAAGTGCACGCGTGACATCGTTGCATAATTGTTTTTGGTATTATCAATAATTAATTGTAATAAATAGACTTCTAGTCTTAGAAATTTTAGCTAAGTTTATCATAATATTAATAAATAAATCAACATAAATCGATTTTCATACATAAATATAACTTGTTTTTAGCATAAGTTGTAAAGATGTTAAACGAATACAAGTTAATTTTCAACAATCCTTGTTAATCAAATAAAAATGTACAAAAGCCAAAAAAAAAAAAAAAGAAAAAAGTTCTGCACAATTTTAAACCTGCCTATTGCACACAATTTTGAGACCTGAAGAGAGAGAGAGAGAGAGAGAGAAGAATAAAAAAAAAACACTGGACGATCTATTAGCCGTCATTAGCGCGCGCGTTCATTTACGATTGATGTTTAAGATCGTTACGTTAAAGTTCGTTTAAAAAAGGACACTTACCTGGCACGTGAGCCGAGTGCGGTTCCTGCGGCTCTGGTTGACCGCGTTGATCAGGAACCAGTTGAGCACGGCCAGCACCAACAGCGGCACGCAGATGAACGTGACGATGCAAAACCAGTTGTACGCCTTCTTGTAGATGTCGTTCCGGCCCAGCTCGGTGCTGCTCTTCTTGAACTTGCCCGTGGCCGAGTCGATGGCGATGTGCCACTCGTGCGGCGTGGTGGCCGTGCACGCGATGCAAAACAGCGCGACGATTAGTATGACGCGTTTGGCCCGGGACTCGGTGCACAGCACTCGGCCGCGCAATGGATGGCACACGGCTATGTACCGCTCCACCGTGAACGAGACCGTCAGCAGCACGGAAGTGTTACCTGTGTGCACGGGGATACACCATGTGAAATGTTGTTTTGCGCATTATGGAACGGGCATCAAGGATGTACATTTTCCGAATGTTCGGATCTGGATTCGAATGGAATCCTTATCCGGAGTTATGGGTTTGATTTTTATGCGACCAACAATTGTTTTCATTTCTCCGAAAAAACAAATTATTTCGTTTTATTGTAATTCAAATTTAACGACAAATATAAATATTATGTCTTGTAAACTATCGCACCCGAAAGAAAAAATTACACTTTCAAGATCAACCGTATCCTTATATCAAGTTAATCGGTGTCTACAAATACACATGTTGCATACGTATGTATTTTCTCGTTCTGACTTAAATCAACTCACACCTCATTATGTTATCACTAAGAATTCCATTATGAAAGATAATAAGATTGATTTATAGAGAACCCATCAACGAAATTCGTGTGCTACTCGGAGCTCCGATACGAAGTTCCCAAAGTTCCAAATTTGGTTTACTCGTATAACTCCGAAAATTGTATACTTGAGCATTGAAACTCTTTAGTGTTTGGAATTACGATGATGTATGTCGACCTTTCAACTCTAACTTTTATTTATTATCTCATATACTACGAGTTTATCATAAACTTTGTTATAGAAAATGTTCATTAAAGATCTTCTGTGAAAATTTACAATAGCAGATTAAATTATCGACTTAATACAATATTCAAATATACCATTATGTTTAAATGTTCATATTTTAAGCACTGATGTATAAAGTTTCATTATGGTTTCTCGAAGGAAAAAGTTTTATCGGAAATCATACATAATTGTAGAAATGGAAAATGTTATAGTAACCTAAAAATATCGGTTTTCAACCACGGTTATGTTTCGATCGATGTAATACGTTCGCAATGTTTATACCCGTATACTTATTATTTTCGTATACTGCGATAGTCCGTCGACTGTCAAAGAGAAAGGCTAACGATCAGAACGGTATTTCACGGTGGTGCACCTGCGGTGGGACTCGACGGAATTGGGTTGAGCTCAACATACGAGTCGACGCTGATCAGCCAGCCGAATATTATGGTGTCTTACGGATGGTATGAAATTTAAACGTGTCTTGGTGCCACTGTTCGATGTTAATAATGACTTCTCGGGGCGAAAACCTCCGACCATTACTTGGTCACGTAAACATTCTCATTTGGTATAAATGCTTGATAAACAGCCATTATGGATGACGTCAGAGTCTGCACAGGTTAAAAAGTAATTATTAAGTAGTAAGCTGTATACTCTTAACCTCAAGACTACATTTAAGGTCGAGAACCCATGTCGAATCGCATAATATGTTTATTCGGAATAGAAGGACAAGCAACATTTTTGAATTTATATAAAATAATATTTTTATTTTATTTTTGTTCCGATTATTTTTCTGAGATGAAGCTTTTTTAGAAATGTTTTCTTGTTTGACAGAAATTATAGTGTTGTAAATGCTAAACCTGAGAGGAAAAATACAGTAAATATTGTATAATAATAACATTTGGAGAGGTTAAAATTATAAAATGAAAATCACAAGATAGAATGCAAAACATTAATGAAATAAATAATTGAAAAATATAATATTAAATTATGTAGTTCTACATGAGTATTTCACGTTGACATTTTTGAATATTTTTCTCATGCTATATCTTTCTCTAGGATATAATACAATATTTTTTTTTTAATTTTTTTAGAAATATTATTTTATAAATTTTTCCGTAGTACCAAAAATAATAACATACGTGAGTATTAAATGAACACGAAATATTAAAATAATTTAATTATTTTAAATAACTATACGCATAAACTTCTGTGTGCTTGTAATGGTAATTATTGATTATTGTGTCAAAGTTATATTTATTATTTATACGTATACAAAGTAGCGTAGTAAAAATCAAACGAACAGAAGAAACACTGAGTTATTGATCCCATCGTATTTTCTATAATCATTAATATTTTCGACAATGCAAAAAAGTGTAGTACTAATGATTGTAAAATATCTAACGTAAGCATCAAGTTTACAAAATTGATAGTGGTTCATTAATCTCTTTTTTGAACAACACTATTTAGAAAGCATAAACGGTTCAACAATGTTGATCATTAAGTATGATAAGCTTTCAAAGTTTAATACGCAGTTCCAAAAAATAATTCAAATCACAAAGTATATTTGTTATATTCGTTATAATAGAAAATTAATATTTGTCCACAACGGTAATATTTAATTAAAACATAATAATTGTAGTTTATCTGCAAGTAGTTATGGGCAGTGGTGCATTTAGAATATACGCGCCCCGGGGCAAAATTATTTTATTACCCCCCCTTTCCAAATTGTCGCTAATTTTTATAATCTCAGACCTTCTTTTTCCACCCTCAATTAATAAAAAATATGCTCTTTGCTTGTTTTAAATATTATTTTAAAATTTATATCCTAGTTTTTCACAGTATAAAATTTCTAAGTTGTTTGTTCAATTAAAAAAATCATACCTAATAATGACATTATTAATTTTATTAAAAAGTTTAATTATGATTTTTTTCTTGTCTACGCAAGTAGATAAATATCATAAAAAAACCACAAAAAATGAGTACCTATATGTTACACTTTCACCACAGATATACACAAATATACTCTAAACTTGTATAATAATAATGCATTTCATTCGTTATCAGTCGTATTAATATCACATTTAATACAAAATTATTTGATAAGATAATCCATTATCACAAAATAATTGATTAATCAAAAAATGCTATACGAGTACAATGCACGTAAATCAATGTCATACATTTTGTGATAAAAAAAAAATAATAATAATAATACACTCAATACAACTGCCACCCCTAAGACTGTTAACATTTTAATACTGGAGAATTCGTCCCCTTCGCTTCCCCATAAATGCGCCACTGGTTATGGGTATTAAATCATATGGTGTTTTACACATATATTGTATTGTATTTGGTATACTGTTTTTTAATGTTTGCACGAGTACAAAAACAAATGTCAATGAATCGATTAATGCATATACAGAGATCAAACTGAAAACTAGAATGAACCCGAGAGTACATGCAATGCACGCTTATAATAAATTAAGCCGAATTGAATACACCCGTGTTAGTTCTGAAATATAATAGGTATTAACAAAAACATCACGTTCGCGTTCTCAATATAGTTATGATTGTATGTATACATTTGCATGATAGTAGATTTGAATATTTCGGTGTGCAACGGTTTTCTGTGTATCAGTTGTATACTTATGAAATATTTAAATTAAATTAATTTATCGTTGTATAACTCATCTATACTATAGTTGGTGATGGATGGCGATACCGACTCGAAATTATGCGGATTGTTCACGACTAGCAATTCCGATTAAAATGAGACAGTTAAAAGGATTTTAACAAGTATTCATAGGAATATAATAGGTAAATCGTATGCATGTGTCTTTTTAATACCTTAACTATTTATTGATATTTAATATATTAAATAATTTTCATAATAAATCACATTTTGTATGTCAAATTTTCTTTGATAAATATCAAATATCAAATATCGCGTTACTGCGCAACATAAAAACAATCGAAACACCAAACACATCAGTCATTACATTTTCGTAGATTCCAAATATTATGTGTTAACATATAGCACATGAAAAGGTGAAATTAAAATTTTAGAGTTTTTAAGTATTTACTTTATTCTAAAGATAATTTTATTCAGTAAATAATTTCACAAAATACGAAAAAAGTAGACAATGTCTATTATAATTATCCATTTATTTATTAGTTTTACTAAATTTGACATAACAAACGTTCAAGCATTGTTATTATCGAATTTGAAAAATAATTTGTAGTTGAATTTAATGAAGACTTTATCATTCAAAACGATCAATTTATCATATTTATTTAATATTTGGCAGTTTTCTGAAAAAAAAAAAAATTTTTTAAATAAAAAATCTTATAATTTTCGGAGGCATGGAACTTTTTACTATCTCTACATTTTTTTCTTCTTTTCAATTAATATTTAAATACAGAATTTTTTTTTTCTGGTAACCCTCATGCCAAATGATAGTGGCATCGCGGTTACGTTTTAAATCGATATTATCAACGGATAATGTATCATAATGTTCAGGGTGCTGGATGTGTTTGGATTTTATATAGATTTTCTTTTGAAAAAAAAAAAAACATTCTTCCTCAGCTATCACGTTATTGCTAGCAATTTCGTCATTTCCAATTGAGCTGCGGAGAGGGTCAGGGAAAATACAATATATCGAACACTATACATACAAAACGTTTTCACGACACACTTGGCTTTTGAAAAAAACCTTACAAGGCAGTGAAAATATTTGAAAAATAAATTAATCTTATGCTTATTTACACAGTTATTTATATATATAAATATAAATATATATATATATATATTTTAATAAGATTACGTACAATCGGTTGAACAGTATACGAACCATGTGCGCGTTAGCGGATGGGCGAGGTTCGGCCACGAAAGTTTCTATAATAATAATAAAAAAAAAAACATTCCGACGCGTTCGAAATAAAAACGAATCTCGCGGTAATCACAAATAGCTGGTGAATGCCCAAAGAATATTATCGAAAACCCTGATGTTTATCGGTGTTGAAAACGGTAGCCGCATTCCGTGGGAAATTTATTTCCTCTCGTCTCTTCGGCCCCGTTGTATCTCGGGATTCGAATGCGTTCCAGAATAAATCCTATCGAACCACCTTCGCACGTCAAAGCCCGGTTTGTTTATGTTTGGCGTGAAGCGACGGGTCGGATGCGCCCTAGGGAGCGTTAGAAGGGTCGGAGAAACGATCGCGGTTAGACGCGATGTACATTTTTTCACCGTACGTTCCCGTCCACTCAGATTCAATACTATCGACATAATTGGTGTACAGTATCTCTTTTTGTACACACTCGTGCACGTGCACACACACAAGCATGGCTGTATATTATTATAATATCATATATGATATACGATGC